ATGTATTCGCGCTGACAACTATTTTTTTATTTTATTTTTTTTCGTGATCGTGGGGCTGCCTTGATAGGTCCGGTCTGCAAGTCACGCTGCTAGGCCGGCCCTCCTTGGAGCTAGGACAGGCATCGCCACCTAAAGAGAAAGCTTAAATAAAACATGGTAAACGGATTGAAATTTTTAGCTTTCTCTTCCCTGTCGTTGTATCTCTCTCCCTTTGTCGTTGGTATCAGTCTGTCTTTGTCTCCCCGCGCCCTTCCCAACCTACCCCTTCGCCCCCTCCCCCTCCATTCCACACAGTGCTGGGGCGGTAGACGACCGCCAGAGTAGCTGAGGTGCCATAAAAGGCGAATAAGGGTAAAGCCACGATTGCTCGCTCAACAACTTCTCGCCCCGGCCGCAGCAGGCAAGCGGGCTGCCCGAACCGAGCTGCCTCACCACCATGTAAACAGCGAAAAAAGAAACAAACACAAAAAACAACTTTGTACAGGCGACTTAGGACTGCACCATCAGCAGCGCTCGCTCTGTTGTTTCGGTGCTTTATTTCCCTGATCCATTGGCTTATAAGCACCCTTCGTTCACACTTGTAAAACATATATCAATTCGTTAGGCCAACATACCGTTTCGTTCGGTTTCGTTGGACCAGCATCCCATGTGTAGCCATCACAAGGATATTGTTGGTATTGAAACGAGTCGTCGGATCACTGACACGTTTTTTTGTTGTTGTTTTTCCATACAATCACCCTTTTTACCACCATCCTTCAATGCTATGAGAAATTGGTCTTGGTTTGAAGCAACATGAAATGTTCCAGGTCAACTGTCATGGAAAACGATGAAGAACCTCCTTACTTTATCGGAGCAGAATGAATCCTACAAGAAGGTTTTACAATACCCGATAACGAATGAAAACGCGGTGCATGTGCGTGGGGAGGGGGGGGCATTCCCAGTACACGATCTCTTCAAAGACACGTAGCGTAAGAGAATATGAATACACTAGAAAAACAAAAGTGCTAAGTCGTGCGTTTCCACACGCTAAACCTTTATGCATTAAGTGTGCATAATATTACGGCTTATAAAATTCTGCATGTTTATGCACAACACAATGCATAAGGATTTAGTGTTCAGGGGCAGGGGTGACCAAGTTCGTGCCTCTTCAAAGGCACTAAAGAGCACTGAATGTGATGGAACGTACTGCCTTCGGTAGTTTTAGTGCCTTTGTAGGCACTAAGCCTTTAGTGGCTTTAAAACGGAGACTTTAGCAACTTTGTTTGTTTTTTTTCAGTCTAGAGTACTTGTTCAACTTCGTCAACTTACTTTCTGCGCATGCGCCACACGAAACCGGGAATCACCGGGGATCTTCCCTAAAACATGTTTGTTGTGGAGGTGTAGGGCTCGTCCAGAAAGTACGTCTACTTTTCTCAGAAACGGGAGCTCGACGCCTGCAAGACTCAGGGTAGGCCACCCCGCAGTACACGCATGCACTACAGGCAAGAGGTAGCCTACCTATAAGGCGCTATGAGAGCTTGCGTTCACTGGAAAAATAAAAGGCACTAAACAACACAACACCTTTTCTGGGGCACTAAAGTCAAGGGCGCAGTTTAGTGCCTTTCCTGGGGTACTTAAGTTTCGTACCTTTCTAAAGGCACTACTCTAGTATGGAACTCATATAAAGCTAGCCAGCTAAAGGTGTGAAATGTCACATTTAGTGCCTTTTAAAGGTAGGGATTCGCACCTTTGTTTTTCCAGTGTTGGCTGAACTTTCTGGCCGATCCTACCACAATCAGGATGATGATTAAAGTCAAGGAACGAGTTTGCTCCCGCGTTGAGCTGCCGGTATAATGCCGGTACATACCTTCACGACGTCCTGATGATGGGCGTGTGACGTGGGGACTGGCGTCTGTCACGAGCCGTGACGCGACGTACTACAACGTGCACTTCGTGTCCTAGTGCGTCGTCCTATCGAACCGTACCCTCTCAGCCAGTTCACTGTAAAAAAAATGGGGTAGTTTGAAACAAACTTTGATCTAAAAACACACCTGGCATTAGCCTTCTTGTATCAGATAATTGTGAGTCCAATACTGAGATTTTGGTGTTACAAAGGATCAGCTAGTTTTCTATTTTACTAGCAGTATCTTTCCGTATCCACAGTAGTAAATTTGCTTCTTTTCGTAAGATAGTTCGAGCAAGCAGTCGGAAAGGACAAGGCAGCCAGTTCTCTGACCTACAGCCTACCTTTTCGCACCCGCGGTGTTAAGCACCGGCCGGGAACCTAACCGCGTATTTTTTTTTAAACGGTGCAGAATTTTTTTGTAAGTTACGTATAACCTATAAGTTCACAACACTTTAGTGGGTACGTGTACTCTAGCCTTTGACATGGAGTCCTATAGGCACTACACTAATAAAAAGCACAACGATCATGCGCCTGGGCTGTACAAAACTACAATGGAAATAATGTCTTTCAACGAATGTTTAATTTTAATGCCATTGTAAAAAAAGCGAAAGTGTCCATAGGCATTAAAATTTAGCACCTTTGGACAGTTATTAATGCCTTTGTAGGGGGTGCTAATTTGTAATACTCTTGTAAAGGCACCAAAATCATTTCAGTCCTACCTTTGTTTTTCCTTTTGTAATGTGCCATTTGTGTACTTTGGTTGTAAGCTACGGTTGCACAAAATCCTTCATGCACAACATGATGCGTCTGGAAAGCATTGCTTTGCAAGAATGTAACAGTGTGGGACCACGGGAGAAACAGGTGCCAAAACAACGCAGACACGACACTGTATTGATAGCAAATTTGCATATGCTATCTTTCTTTTCGTGCAGGAGTTCATAGGGAAAAGTCGGAATCTCCTTGACCGCCCCACTTCTGCCGCCCTGCCTGGCAAATCCAACAGAAACGTCCCCAGCCGCCCCAGCCCTTGAACCCTGCGGTTTTATTAGTTTTAAATTTCGACACGCCAGCGCCCTCCTGCAGGAGGACCCCGCGCCTTCGCAAAACGGAGCAGGGGGCGAAAGGGGGAGGGAGGGGGGAGTCCAGCGCTCGGAGGGAGGGGAGGGGGTGATCTAGTGGGCTGGAGTTGGCATAAGTTGGTCGTGCGATCATGGCCCGCTGGGGACCAGTATGACAAATGTTGCCTTCCGACAACTTCGAATTAGTTCCACGACTCTGGGCCGCCCGCCCGACGCGTCGGCCAGTCGCGTCACACAAGGCGGAGGGCGGCCGACAGGGGAGGGACGACGCACGCGTCAAGACTTGAAGGGGTCACGCAGGACTTCGTATGTACTCGCTCAACTTCATTTATTGGACGACGACAGAAAGTATGATACACTTTAATGTCAAATCGGCATCTAAAAATGCCGTCATTTTCGGCCGAATTTCAATCGGTTGGAGGTGTTAGCGACATGACATAAAGCATTTCAAGATCGGTTAAGCTGGCGTGTATTCGTTTCATCGATAGACATTTTAAAAGTCCGTGAATCTGGCACGAGTCTCAACCAGACCCACTGATGCAGTTGATCACCTTGGTGGCTTCGCCGACGTTCTTGATGCCGGCGCAGCCCGCGAACACGTAGGGGTTCTTGTTGTTGGTGCAGGTGGACGCCTTGAGGGCGACGCTGGCGGGGACGTTGGCCTTGCTCACGCACTTGACGATGTTGCTGCCGGTGTTCACGACGTTTTTGATGATGTGGCCGAGGTTGAAGGGGCTCGGCGCGGCCTCCGCGACCTGGTGGTTTGGAGATCATTGAAATGTTTCCTCAGGAAAGACGACGGGAAGCAGGCTCAAGCCCGCGGTCGCATGTCGCGATCATACGGTACCTGCTGACTGGCGAGCACCGCCAGCACGGCCAGGACAGCGACGACAGCGGCACGGCTTGGAGACATGATGGTGCGATGCGGGGCAGCGGGTGCCGACCAGGGCGCAGTGCTCCCTTATACGCTCGTCCTCGTGCACGCCGCTTCTCTCTCGCGCACGTCGAGCGTGACCAACGAGGGCGTCACGATCTTCAGGCTATCTACACTGCTACCAGCCATCTACTGTTCGCCCAATTTGGGCGAAGAACTGGTCCTTTTCTAATAGACCATTGACCATTTCAGGCAAGGTGATAAGAAGAAAAGAATAACAAACCGGAAAAGCACTGCCTTCTACTAATCGCCCCCCACCCTTCGTCCCCCTTCGCCCCTCGCCCAACTGTTTCCCGTTTCGGTTTATTCTTTTCTTCTTCTTGTCACCGAAACTGAAACAGTTTATAGACACAATTTGGGCTAATATAACTGTTCTTTTGATTAAAAAGGAAAAATTGCCTGTTAATGGCCACAAAATTCGTAACTTTTGTTGGTTCACCCACAGTAACAAAATTGTAATTTTTCGGTATTTTCAGTGACACAGCAAATAGGATAGTTGTGCAACATCATCATAACCGATAAGTCAATCATAACTATCATAAAAATTGGCACGAAATTTGCTGCTAATTTACAACTTTATTTTTAACAGTGTATAAGTGCGACAGTCATCGCATCGAGCGTGACTCCGCAGCTACAGTTGCTCGAGTGATTGTGCGCAAACTTAAACTGTTTTTCCGAGTAAACAAGTTCCAAGGCGAGTATAACCATGGGGGTAGCTTCCCATTTTTCCGTTAATTTTTCTTAAAATGTCCCCCCCCCCCTTTCCGGATAGTTTGCGCGGTTTCTTTCACATTTCACACACGTTACAACGCGACGCAGTCGTGCATTCGTGCATGCTACAGATACTCCATGCACAAGGACGCGGGGTAGCGCCATCGATGGCGGATCGTGGAGTACTTACGTCACACCACAGGGTCCGCTGCGCATGTAGGATATCTACCTCGCCTGGCTCGTGGCAACACCGTGCCCGTGGTATCAGGTTTGCAAATCGCAACTTCGTCTGTTCTACAGTGGCCCGTAAGACTGCTGATCAAATTAAAAATAGCTTAATAATTATTTATTTATTTTTAAAGTGGCGGCGAACAAAATTATCCACAGACAGTTAGAGAAAATAAAAGTTTTATTCAGTTATCAGTCTTCCCTCGTCTGTAACGGGCTCACATTAATCTTAAAATCACAGTTTACAGCACTGGGAAGATATTTTCAAATAAAAAGAAACAACTTACAAAAAATACCTTACACACTAGGTATCATTTTCAGCACATAATTCGCTGAAAAAAAAAGTCATTTACAATCAACAATAGGAATGCTCTAAAAGAGAGACAAGGAAATAATTGACTAGGGTCTTCAGTTGACGACTCATGACTGCCACAAACCTGCTGTTGAATCATACAAACTGACTAGATCTCTGCAGGAGAGAACAACACCCCGCACACTGTCTTACAGAAATGCACAAGGACAGTGTCAAAATGAGTTGCTCAAAAATAGCAACAAAAGTCATATAAAAATCGCAGGTCAAAAAAATTAAATATTTATCAGCAACACAATGATCTCAAAAATTCTATGGACTCAACTCACAGATGATACAAAATACATAAATTCACTGTATCCCTTAATTGTCTCTTTTTGTCTAGTCTAGTAATGGAACTATATGCTGATCAATAAAAGATATATTTATGTGCCAGTCAAAATGGTCCATGCCACTAAATGAAAGCAGAGTGACTTTACCAGCCTCATCTAAAGTACGAAGACCAAAACTATCATTCTTGTATAAAGGGTTCTGTCTCATATCATAGACTTCTTCTTTTTCATCATAATATCCAAATTGACTGCAAGAAAAAGAAACAGTAATGTAACAGTATGCAGCATCACAACTAGAAGAAAATTTAAAATGATACAGATAATAAGTATGGACAAGAAATTGATTTACCTAGACTGCCAAGGAGTGATAACACCATCATCTGGCCCACCAACCAGTATAAGTTTCTTCAATTTAGTGAAACCACTTTTGTAACTTTCACTAGAATTAGACAGAAATTGATTGTTGACATATGGTAGAAATTGACTATACTTAAAAAATAGTTCTTGATGGTGTGGATCATTCCAGTAGTTGCCAACAGATGTATGTTGTCCCACATATGAATAAAATAATTCATATGCTGTATGGCATGTTAGGTCAGGGAAGAACAGATGAAGAAACTTTGCTATATAGAGAGAGGAAAACAATATTTGATGAGTTTTACAAATACAACGAATACACGAATGATGAACAACCACTTACTTCCATACTGGCCAAACTGAGGGGAACTAAGAGAGATGAAAGTATGCACATTGTGCTCAGGGTATCTCTCGAGGATTGCTCGAGAAAGTAGACCACCTTGAGAATAGCCTGAAAGGAACAATTATTAAATTAAATGAAAAGAAGGCCAGGACTCATAATGTTCAATTATATTCTTCAGTTAACAGCAAAAGTAGCAGTAAGATATGGTGATGATTAAACGTACCAATTAAATGTATTCCTTCAGGGTGATCAGCTGATATAGCCAGGAGATCCGCCCCCATCTCTTCGACCTGATGCCACATTGGTTCCAGACTTGACCAGCCTGAGAAGCGGTCCGTAATGTAAATAGAAGTTCCAGGATGCAGCTGGGTTGATATCATTTGTTTAATTGAAAAGAATGTGTAAATAACAATTGTAGACCAAGTATTAAGAGAAGCTTCAGGCAACGCTTATAACAGATGTATCGTACCTGGGCAATCCTTTCAGCGATTGGAAGCATAGAGAGTTTTCCAGTCATGACGCCATGAATCAAAACAACTGGCTTGTAACAATGTGCCCAAGAAAGAAAAGTCAACAGGAAGATGGTATTTCCGACGAATGTTTTTAATCGGGTCATGCTGGCTAAATCACGTCCCGACTAGTGACATACAAGTAGAGGCCTGTTACACGTTCTCAAGGCAAAGGTGACTCCACAAAAGTAGCAAACAATCTTCGGCCTTCAAACGACCAAACCAAACTTAACCTCTACAAAATCCAAGACCACCACCTTTTGACACGAACCTCAGAAACGGAAGGATGAGTAGAAATATTTCGGTCTTGACAAATTTTCTCTCAAATTCATCAGCGGTAACTTTCCACCTTCACCATAGATCGCCACTTAAACTTTATGGGATAAATCAGCGTTGGAAAAGACATTACTATCTTTCCCGCAGTAGTGACATTTAAGGTCGAAAAGGTTAAGACACCAGATACACGTATGGAGCTGGTATGAGAAATCGGACGACAACTGCAAATAAGCAGTTCCTTCGTGACGTCCGTTGTGACGTCGTGACGTCTCGTCTGTCGTCTGTTTAGTGTTGTTATTTTGACACCACGACGCCTTGCCTGACTCACTCTCTATCCGAATTTTGATGCACGGGTCCAAAAGAAAGACTGAGACGAGATATGACCTTCGCCCGCTCCCTCGGCTCTGACACTCGGGACACACCCGTCGGCGGCACATCGTGGGGGGTGCCAATTGTTCTGGGAATCCACGCATGACTTCTCGTTCGGCCCTCACGCAGCTTTGCGCGGTTAGTCGGCGCGAGGTCCCCTGTCTGTCACTTGTGGCTCGAGGCCCGAGCGACGAGGTGTCATTCGTCCCCACTCTCCGAATTAACGATTAGTTTCGATTTCCGCCCTCGCGTGCCGTTGTTATCTTCTCCAGCAGAGCCGATCACGCTCCCAGGGAGTGCCAGAGTCCAGCAGACGACTGAAGGAAAATGGCGGAATGGTTAGACGGCCTGGAGAAACTGGCTCCAGGAACTGGAGGATACATCAGGAACATCCTCAGTCCTGAGTCAATCCCTAACAAAGTGCTCGAGTACAAGGTGGACCGCTACAAGAAGTGGGAAGTGTTGTCAAAGGAAGAGGGCCTTTTGCTGTATGGCAACTCGGGCAAGCAGAAATATGAAGTTGTTCTTGTGCCGAGCGTTCCTGTGGAATCTTCGAGCAAAGCATTCAGGTTTGGTTCCACCTTTACCTAATTTAGTGATTTTTTGACTAACTATATATTTTATGCTATCCCTTCCTTATACGTTGCAGCCTTTTCCGATCTGACAATCAGGAACCTGTAGATAAAAAATTCCAGCAATTGAAAGACAATCTTGTTATTGTTGCACCAGTACTTTCAAAAGATGTGAGGATGCTTATTTCATTAGATAATATAATTGTTAACTTTTCTCTTCCTTGCTATTAGGATTAACCATCATGTTTTGTACACAGGATTGTAATGTATCTACAATACAAAAAATGTGTGATGCACTGGAGCTTAATCCTGGCTGGAATGCAGCGCATCTTGCTGCACACTGTGATTTGGTCTCAGCATTTAAATCAGACACAATTTCTCAGTATGTACGCCACACTATAGGTCCATTGATTAATTTTGAAAAATAATCAAACTTTCTAATGTTTAATATTTTTACTTGATCACTTTCTTTAATAGATTTTTAGATGCGGCTGATAGTAACACTGGTGTGTTACCACTACAGGTTGCTATCCAAGCACAAAATTTGCCAACTATTAAAGCTCTTATTGGAAAAAAGATTTCCCTTGAGTGTGTTGACAATGAGGCCAATAGTGTCCTCCATTATGCAGCCAGCACCAACAAGGAAATTATCACGGTATGCAGCTCAAAAATTTGAAAGAAAAAAATCTTCACACATTGTTCATAATTGGAGAAACTCACATTCTTACAGCTTTTGACTTCTGAAGTTGATTCAAAATATTTAAATGAGCACAATGCTAAAGGCCACACCCCTTTACACATGGCATGTCTAGCCGACAAACCAGAATGTGTGAAAACCTTGTTGTTGGCTGGGGCAGACTGCAACATTACCGCTGATTCAGGGAACCGTTTAGCAGGTACTGTTTCCGCACAAGAGCCAGGTATTGTTAGTGACTTGGTTCAGGAATTTTCTGGAAAACTGTATGCTCAAGATATGAAATTTGGAGGAACTCCATTGCATTGGTCTTGCTCCCGAGAAGTTCTTGAATCACTTTTAGAAAAAAAGTGCCACATAAATGCAATAAATTTTGATGGGAGAACAGCTTTGCATGTTATGGTAAGTACTTGAATTTACTTTTGAATGTTTTGAATGTTTGAGATACAAGTTTCTTCATAATAAATCTTACTCAGATTTTACGTAAACGGTTGGATTGTGCTATGGCCCTACTCTCAAATGGTGCTGATCCTAATATTGCGGACAAAGAAGGCAACACACCCCTTCACCTGGCTGTGACCTGTCGATATCTGACAGCTATCCAAGCATTAGTTGTCTTTGGAGCTTCTCTTAATTACAAGTAAACAGCTGATAAAAACTTATCTTTTTTCTTTTAAGTATATTCTTGAACTAATATGTGAACTTACTGTTTCAGAAATCAGAAAGGAGCTACGCCTAGGCATTTAGCTACCAAAGACACATCTTCAGAAGCAAATAAAATTCTTTACATCCTCCATTCAGTCGGGGCAGAGCGTTGCAGTCAGGATACGAAAGGATGTACTTCTGGGTGCTCATTTGCTGGCAAATTTAATGGAACTGCTCCTCCGACACCATTTACTATGTATGCCAGAGAGGCACTTGATGAAATATTATCTACCAATGCCATGGATATTGCCTCATGTCAATCTGGTGAAGCAAAGTAAGTATCTTTATTCTCTTGCAAAACCTTAATTAAAAAAATTTCCTATTAATGTTTTATGTACTTAATGGGTATCATTTTTGTCCGGCCTAGGAAGCGGTCTCATGCACTCTGTTTGGATGGTGGAGGTATCAGAGGTCTAATTCTAGTAATCATGCTTCGAGATATAGAACGAGCAGTTGGTCGTTCAATTGTGGAGTGTTTTGATTGGGTTGCTGGGACATCTACAGGTGGTATTCTTGCCTTAGCGTTGGCTGTAGGTACGTTTTAAAATCAGTTACTTATTTATTGGGTAAAAGTTTGAGTCAGAATATAAGCACTGTCCTTTTTTTTCTAATTCCAGGAAAATCTTTGCAAGACTGCCTTTGTTTGTATTTTAAAATGAAAGATACTACTTTTCTGGGCGTTAAACCTTACCCCAATGAACCTTTAGAAAACATTTTAAAGGATTGTTTTGGTTCAGACACCATTATGTCTGAGATATCACACCCCAAGTAAGTCAAGTTTGCTGTTTGCTTCAACCTTTTACTGAAAATTACTGGAAAGAATCTACAATTGTGTTTCTAATACCAGATTGATGATAACGGGATTGTTGGCCGACCGCAAACCTGTTGATTTGCACTTGTTCCGTAACTACGAATCCCCACTTCAAGTCTTGGGGAAAGAGGAGCCTTCAAATGGTAAATTCAAAAAGCCTCCTTCATCCCATGATCAGTTGGTGTGGGAAGCGGCCCGGGCATCAGGAGCAGCCCCAGCTTACTTTGGGTATTTAAAAAAAAATTAAAAAATCATATTTTCATTCTTACTTTTAAAATTTCTCATGCTTCTAAATTTTTTAACTTGCCTTTTTATTTTCTTGAAATTTGACAGAGCACATGGTCGCTTTTTGGATGGAGGTTTAATTGCTAACAATCCATCTCTGGACTGTTTAACCGAAATACATGAATACAATTTAGCTCTGAAAGCAGCAGGACGGGAGGCTGAAATGGCACCTATAACAGCTCTTGTGTCAATTGGTACAGGTAACATTCCTGTAACAGAGGTAGGTCAAGAGAAATAACTCTGTTGTAGGAAGAAAGAAAATGGTACTGTTTTTTTATATGGTGCTTCTTTTCTTCTCCTACAGTTGCAAGATATTGATGTTGGACGACCAGGAAGTCTCTGGGGAGCCACAAAACTTGTAACTGGTGTTTCCAATATCATTACACTCATTATTGATCAGGTATGAGATCTCTTTTAATTGTTTCTATCTCTCTCTATTTTTTGTCTTAAATAATTTAATTTTGGATAATAATTGCCATATTTTATTTTCAAGGCTACTCAAAGTTCAGGGAGGGTTGTTGATAGGGCGAGATCATGGTGCTCTTCACTTGGTGTCCCTTTCTTCCGTTTTTCACCGTTGTTGTCAGAGGACATAAACATGGATGAAAGAAGTGATGAAAAACTTGTTAATATGGCTTGGGAATGTCAGGCCTACATGCACAGCCAGCAAAGATCTGTCAATGAACTTGCAGAAGTATTAAGGAGATAATCCAATTCTATACAATTTTTTTAACTCTCTTATAAGGAAACTAGAACTTAAGAAATATTCGGTAACAGCTTTTTATATTCTAGTTTTCTAATGCCTTTTAATATTGCCCCTATCTATGAGCACAAAATGTTTGCTTTTGGCTTATGTTCACTCATGAAGCTATCTTTACATGCTCACTTGTCAGACACAGCTGGCTGTTACTTATTGTTTTAAGATTGTTTTTAATTTTTATATCTTTGAGAGCATTTGATAAATTTACTGTTTTTAAGAACTGTGATTATTGCCTACATATATATTTTGTGATCAATTCTGTGCATAAGCAAATAACTTTTTTATCTTCTTTGTGATATTAATTTCTTCTATGTTATAAGAGTGGTGCTTCTTCATTTGTCATCAAAATGTCCAAATCAAATACACTATATTATTTTTAGCTATCTTTATAAAATTCGCAAATAGTGCCTTTTCATTTTGTTTTCTTCCTAGAGTGTTGTTCTCAACTTTCCTTGCTGCCTTGCAGTCAATTTTTATCTTACATTGATCATGTAAAACATATGTGATGAAACTTCTCATTCTTGTGGTATTTACTTATATTTCAAGGAGCCGCAATTTTTCTCTCACGTCAATCAAGCATGTGATGTGTCACTTTTCGTTCTTGTGATGTTTACTCGCACTTAAGAAGGAGCTGCCTTAAGGGTATGGGCTCCACCGATGTAAAGTAAATGGGACCAAATATGTCACCATTCGGATTTACCTTGAAATTACATGGATGAACTGCACAGAAAACGATCTTGGCCATGTGTGTCATTTCTCCCACTCTGGTTTGAGGTTTTCATTCCAAATTCCATCGTGTTTGTGTCAACGCCACGCATCAACGAGCGCGGCGGCCGCGCGGCGCCTTTAAAGGCTGATGACGGGTCGCCCGGTTATCCGTTCTATTCGCCTTGAGAGATTTCTTTCTGGGAGAGGGGGGAGGGGGGGGAGTTCCGAGAGTTCCCTCGAACGGATTATCTCGCAGTCTCGCGGCCCAGATTGTAATAAACATGTACAGGGGGAGGGTGGGGCGTGTCCACCCACAAGGGACACCACTTCTGTGACACGAAGACATCAAAAGGCGTAAGGCGCACTTTCTGTCAAACTTTTCGTCAATTTGGGAAGAATGTCCTATGATGTCAGGTCCCTCTGAAATGTTCCACTGTTGAAAACTACAACAGCACTGGTAAAACAAAGGTGTGAATTCCCACTTTTTCACCTTTTTTTCAAAGGCTCAAAATTCTGCTTCGAATGAGCCTACCGGCTGATAAAGAGAAGACGCAGGTGCGCGCGGGTTTGCCTACCCTCGACTCGGCAGGCGCACGGGTCCTCTCCTCACCTCTCCCCGGACCTGGACCCGTGCGAGGATAGGCAAACCCGCGCGCACCTGCGTCTTCACTGAATCACCCGGTACATGTGATTATGTGTCTGAAGAACGGTGAAAGAAGTAACTGACCCTCAGGAATCTAAATTTCTTTCATATGGGATTTGAACCCCATCACGTGTT